GGTAATCTGGAGCCACATGGAGGTGAAGTGACGTGAATTGAACGATTATCCTTCAAATCATATATTTGTCTATGTAATAAAGCCAGTCGAAAGTTTTACCTCTCTTCCTGAGGATAAGAGTCTGCCGGTGAGGGTGAGAGGAAGAGATGGTAGGCCGGATGCAATCGTTTATGTCTCGAGGATTGAGATAGGTGAAGATCAAGCAACTGTGATAGGAGCGTTCGGAAGGCTAAGTAGACGCATTTATCTGTGGTCACAGGTCTTTTGAGATGCCGGTGATAGGAAAAGTGGCTAAGGTGGGCTGGAGAGATAAGGCGACAAATAAGGAGTGAAGGAAAGGTGAGAAAAGGGTTCACCTGAAGAAAGGATAAATTTTCTGCTCGGCATGGACACTGGAATAGCCTACGGACTTCTTTCTTTCATTGTCTCGCATTGCAAATCTGAGCGAAGCCGTGAAAGAGTCGAGCCTTAAACTGATTTGTGCCTGAGGCGTGCACATTGACACTCTGCCATGGTCTTCTCATTCCAGTTGCAGCGCATCTTGAATCCTGCATATTGCGCAATAGCCATAAAACTGAGTCCAGAAGCAAGAATGTGACTAGTGGAGTGCGGAGCTTGGACCCCTTGTGTCTTTCCCTTTCAGTTAACATTTATGGCTGGGATGGGTTTAGATAAGGGAAATTATATTTTTTAGTAAGCTCAATAATGTTACTGATGAAATTTAAGTAGTATTTTAAAAGAACGCCCGAACTCTGACCCTGAATAACCATTAGTTTAGAGATTCCATTTCTTATGAAACTGCATGAAGAAGAGATTCGAAGGTCTATCACTAGAAGACGATGGCTGAATCCCGTTGTATTGCTGCTGTTCGGCTTTAACACGACGTTCAGGTTGACGCACTCCACGAGACATGCTCCCCGTTTTCACCCGATGCGATAGAGAATGTCTCGTGGACTGCATCAATCTGCACGTCGTACTAAGGCCAAACGGCTGCAGTACAACTATAATCAGCTGTCCTCTTCTAGTGTGATCGACTTTAGAATCTCTTCTTCATGCACTTTCACA